TAAGGGTTTTGTTTGTTATGTTCATCCTCCAATATAAGGGTTTTGTTTGTTATGTTCATCCTCCAATATAAGAGTTTTGTTTGTTGTGTTCATCCCCCAATATAAGGGTTTCGTTTGTTGTGTTCATCCCCCAATATAAGGGTTTTGTTTGTTGTGTTCATCCCCCAATATAAGGGTTTCGTTTGTTGTGTTCATCCCCCAATATAAGGGTTTTGTTTGTTGTGTTCATCCCCCAATATAAGGGTTTTGTTTGTTGTGTTCATCCCCCAATATAAGGGTTTCGTTTGTTGTGTTCATCCCCCAATATTAGGGTTTTGTTTGTTGTGTTCATCCTCCAATATAAGGGTTTTGTTTGTTGTGTTCATCCTCCAATATAAGGGTTTTGTTTGTTGTGTTCATCCTCCAATATAAGGGTTTTGTTTGTTATGTTCATCCTCCAATATAAGGGTTTTGTTTGTTATGTTCATCCCCCAATATAAGGGTTTTGTTTGTTGTGTTCATCCTCCAATATAAGGGTTTTGTTTGTTATGTTCATCCCCCAATATAAGGGTTTTGTTTGTTATGTTCATCCTCCAATATAAGGGTTTTGTTTGTTGTGTTCATCCTCCAATATAAGGGTTTTGTTTTTTATGTTCATCCTCCAATATAAGGGTTTTGTTTGTTATGTTCATCCTCCAATATAAGGGTTTTGTTTGTTGTGTTCATCCCCCAATATTAGGGTTTTGTTTGTTGTGTTCATCCTCCAATATAAGGGTTTTGTTTGTTGTGTTCATCCTCCAATATAAGGGTTTTGTTTGTTGTGTTCATCCCCCAATATAAGGGTTTTGTTTGTTGTGTTCATCCTCCAATATAAGGGTTTTGTTTGTTGTGTTCATCCCCCAATATTAGGGTTTTGTTTGTTGTGTTCATCCCCCAATATAAGGAGTTTGTTTGTTGTGTTCATCTCCCAATATAAGGGTTTCGTTTGTTGTGATTATCCCCCAATAGAAGGGTTTCGTTTGTTTTGATCATCCCCCAATAGAAGGGTTTCGTTTGTTGTGATCATCCCCCAATAGAAGGGTTTCGTTTGTTGTGTTCATCCCCCAATATTAGGGTTTCATTTGTTGTGTTCATCCCCCAATATGAGGTTTTTTTGGGCTTGTTTTCATCCCCCAACATGAGGGCTTTGTTTCGTTGTGTTCATCGAAATATAGATGACCTATTTATGTTATTTGACTTATTTTGTAGTAAATATTGCTCTTAATTTTACTTTAATACAGACTGGTTGAAACATTGGCCTCTCTCTTGCTCATGCACGCTTTCTCTTGCTATCTGTTTCTCTCTCTCTCTCTCTCTCTCTCTCTCTCTCTCTCTCTCTCTCTCTCTCTCTCTCTCTCTCTGGCTATCTGTGTGTGGATGTGTGTGTGTGAGTGCACATTTGTTAATATCAGACTGAGCATATTGATCATGCTGATTATATTTTTTAATTTACTCACTTTTATTTATAACTGAAGTTTTAAGTGTCTTAGATGCATTATTTTGCCTTTTTGCTTTTTTAAATTTTTAACATATTTGTGTTAACTTTATCAGTTGCAGACAACATATGATATATGACTAGGACTTCTATAAATTCTGCCAACCATTTTTTCTAGTTTTTTTAAAAATTGGTCAGAGCATAAAAAGAAATCTGGCTTATCGAGTATTTAGCATCTTTGAAAGAAATACCCTCGTAATACACTATTTTAAACAGCTTTTTCTTACTAACACTGTGTTAAGAGTGCCAGACTTGGGCATTATCAAAGGCTAACCTACGTAAAATTATCTCCTACGTCTAGCAGAGTTATCTAACATATTCACCTGATATTTGCTATGTCCAACAGCGTAAGCTCCCATATTAACCTATTATCTCCCATGTTGAATAGTTTTCTTCCATGACCAGCAGAATTGTCTCCCATATTCACCTGTTATTTGCCATGTTCAGCAGCGTTATCTCCCATATTCACCTATTATCTGCCATGTCTAGCAGAGCTTTCCCATATTCCCCCAAAAGGTGCCATCCCTAGCAGAGTTATCTCCCATATTGACGAGTTATCTGCCATGCCCAGCAGCATTATCTACCATTTTCACCAATTAGCTGCCATGTCTAGCAGTTATCTCTCATATTCACCAGTTATCATAAATGTGCAGCAAAATTATTTCCAGTATTTACCACTTATCTTCCATGTTCAGCAGTAACATTGCCTAACTAACATCATCCCTATGTGGGACGCGATTTTTCACTACTTTGAAGCCCACCCAGGCTTTTTGCCGGGAGGCCGCAATATAACCTAAGGATTAAACGCAGTTTCTGGGATGGGTGATCCTCATTCGCATGGTGGCACTTTGTGTCACCTGGTGTTTATTGCTCTGTATGACGTCCTGGTGGGGTCAAATTTACTTACTTACTGTTCAGTAGTTTTCTCCCATCTACATCACTAATCCTGATCTACTTTGCATACAGGTGATCAAAGCTCTCCCCCTACACGAGGACATGGATGTCAAGAACATGACTGTGATCCTGGTAGCTCGTGATAAGCAAGGACTAGCAGCTGCAGATGACATCACTCTCCAGATAGATGATACCTCTCGCAGGTCTTTTACTCATGTGTAAGTTCACTTATCACTCTCCAGATAGATGATAACTCTCGCAGGTCTTTTACTCATGTGTAAGTTCAATTATCACTCTCAGGATAGATGATACACTTCAAAGATCTTTTACCCATGTGTAAGTTCAGTTATCACTCTCAAGATAGATGATACACCTTACAGATCTTTTACTCATGTTTATGTTCACTTATCACTCTCCAGTTAGATGATCCTCTTAGCAGATCTTTTACTCATGTGTAAGTTCACTTATCACTCTCCAGATAGATGATACCTTTCGCAGGTCTTTTACTCATGTGTAAGTTCACTTATCACTCTCCAGATAGATGATACCTCTCGCAGGTCTTTTACTCATGTTTATGTTCACTTATCACTCTCCAGTTAGATGATCCTCTTAGCAGATCTTTTACTCATGTGTAAGTTCACATTTCACTCTAAAGATAGATGATACACCTCGCAGATCTTTTACTCATGTTTATGTTCACTTATCACTCTCCAGTTAGATGATCCTCTTAGCAGATCTTTTACCCATGTGTAAGTTCACTTATCACTCTCAAGATAGATGATACACCTCGCAGATCTTTTACTCATTTGTGGATTTATTTATCACTCTCATAATAATCAGTGTAACTCCTCATATAGATAATAAACTCTCTATGTAAGCGAACTTGTTGATAATCTCTTTAGTTTTTATGAGAAAGTGAGAAAATGCAATTTTTATTGTTGATTATATTTACTGTTTCAGCTGCACAGTCTGAGATGATCCATTTGTCTTTAACTTAAAATATTTCCTTGGATTAGAGTCATACCAGCCTCTGTTCATCGCAACCCAGTCACACAACATGAAACCTCAAAATGCCAGCAACAGCATGTTTATATATGACCCAGCTACCCACATACAGCCACAACTGTTCAGTTTTTATATTACCCAGCTACCCACATACAGCCACATCTGATCATTTCATATATGACCCAGGTACCCATACACAGACACAACTGGTCAGTTCATATATGACCTAGCTACCCACATACAGCCACAACTGATCAGTTTATATATGACCTGGCTACCCTCATAAAGCCGCAAATGTTCAGTTTATATATGGCCCAACTACCCTTGTACAGCCAAAACTGTTCAGTTAATAATGACTCAGCTACCCACATACAGCCACAGCTGGTAAGTTAATATATGACCCAGCTACCCACATACAGCCACAACTGTTCAGTTCATATATGACCCACAAAAGCCATAGTAGGTAAGTTTATATATGACCCAACTGTCCACATACAGCCACAACTGTTCAGTTTTCATATGACCCAGCTACCCATGTACAGCCACAACTGTTTAGTTGATATATGACACAGTGACCCACATACAGCCACAACTGGTCATTTATGACCCAGGTACCCATATACAGCCACAACTGGTCAGTTCATATATGACTCAGTGACCCACATACAGCTAAAATAGACCATGCCAGTTATGAACATTGAGAATTGTACAGTGAGAGTTTTCTAGACAAGAAAAAAAAGGCAGCAGTGAGCAATTTTATAACTATATCCAAAACATCCAGTAGAGACAGTCTCCCATTGACCTATATTGTTCTGTTATTTGATTCCAGTACATTGTGGGACTGTTTTTGTGTGTGTGTTGGTAAAGGATAGAATAGATCCACTGCTTCTTAACAAACTTGTTATGAAAGGCACTTAGTTAATGGTCAGGTTTCTAGAAAATGTAGCAGAGACCTACCTCGGTGAATGTAGCTAGAAGACATTGAAGATACATTGGCTATGTAGGTATACCAGAGTGGAGAACTAACTAGAGAAAGACATACTTTCAGGCATATCATGAAGACAGCAACATTCCAAAAAGAACTTATTGACCAATGATGAGAAGTTGGTTTGCTGAAATACTTAGGCCAAAATGTGTCGATTTTGCAGTCTAGTTATAAACTACAACATAGTATACTGACACATGTCAAGTTATAGGGGGATTAAAGATGAGAGAATCTACTTCCTTGCTCTAAGCTTTGGCCAACCTGGCTTAGTCTCCATCTATAGAGTTGCTGACCTCCTGCTGAAAGTATAAAAAAACCCTTAGACTTTGTATCCTCAGGGATTTCTGAAAATATCTCCACAGATAAACATGGTGTCACAGTTTTACAAACAAACAAGCAAACAAATAAACAAACACATACACACATGCACACACATGTGCGTACACACACAGAGGACAAGGCAATCAGCTTAGCCACATCACCACATAAGTTCTAATTAGTACTTCTTCTTGTCTTGTAAGTGTCTATCATTATCCATTCGTGTTTGCAGTTACCTAGCAGTATGTTGGTGGGTTCTAATTCTGGTAATATTTGTGTTTCTAGTTTCAGAATGAAGTTTGCCATTGGCTTCCTGCAGTTCATGCACAGTAGGAGAAACATCACCCAACTTTTGGAGAGGATCGGGAGCTACTTCGGTGACAACAGGGCTCAGTTGATCACTGTGCTGGAGGTTCGCCAGGGCTCTTTCATCATATCCTGGACCAACAACTCATTGACAGGAGCAACATGTCCTTCAGATGTGAGGTCCATTAAAGTCTGTGACCATCGTTGACTGTTGACTAGATCGTTCATGCAGTGTGACATTTACCTGGTCACTGTTGACTAGATTGTTCACACAGTGGGACATTTATCTGGTCACTGTTGACTAGATCGTTCATGCAGTGTGACATTTACCTGGTCACTGTTGACTAGATCGTTCACACAGTGTGACATTTATCTGGTCACTGTTGACTAGATCGTTCACACAGTGTGACATTTATCTGCTCACTGTTGACTGGATCGTTCATGCAGTGTGACGTTTATCTGGTCACTGTTGACTAGATCGTTCACTAGTTATTGGCTATCTATCTATTTCTGGACTTTGGTCTTGTTTCAGATCTAGAGTTTTGCGTGCACATCCGTTTTACAGATGTAGCTTATTTGTAAGCAGACTAGTGATTCCCATGACTCTCAGGCAGATACACTCTATCGAAAGAAACTTCCCAAACAGATCGCCTTCTGTAACATGCTTGTTTGGGAGGCAGTGGGAGGAAAATGACACTCTTGGAGGTCAAATTAGCAAGAAACTGAGTATCTTTTAGTGTGCCATGCTGAATTTGTGACGTTTTGTAAAGGATCTGCTAAATGACCATTGGCCTAATGCTTTGCCTTTTTTAACCTCTTTGTCTTTTCCAACTTCTTGTGTTTCTTTCCTGTCCATCATTCTTTTCTGGTTTATCATCCTTCACATTCTTCTTTTTCAGCTACTGCTGCTACTACGCATCTTCTTTCTAAATCCTTATGTTCATGATTCTCTATCTCCTCACTGTTTTCATCATCATCATCACCTACATCTGCTGAAGTCAGTCAGAACCATGCATCTATGCAATCTTTACCATGAAACTGAGCCCAATTCCTTGGCTTCTAAAGTGTCTTAATTCCTTCCAATCTAAAGATTTTTTATTAGTTCACACAGCTGTAGCATCAAGGCAGACCAAAACACAGAATGTGGAACTGGGGAGTGAAGTAGAAAAGATGGTGAGGACATGGAGTAGGTTGCATGCAATAACAAAAGATAGGATATGAGTTAGTTTATGGCTTATGCATCAATAATAGCAATACAGGATTAAAAACTAAACAGAAATAAAATCTGCAGAAGATAACAGTTTAAGAGTGTTGATAATAATTATGTCTAGCATTCTGCAGCCCATGTGAGGCTAGCATGAAAAAGCTCAAATACTTGACTTGACTTGACTTGACTTGACTTGACTTGACTTGACTAGACTTGACCTGTGGTCTTGATGGGACAGCTAATGAAGCCTGCTGGTGGATTTGTTCAAAACTGGTATGTTGTGTTCTCACAGACAATCAGACAACTGTATGCTCACATGGTGCGCAGGGACGGAGCTGTTAGGCAGACCTTCAGTCGCCACATTGGACGACATCTTCACCTGAAAGAGGTGCAGCTGCAGCCCTGGGGGGCTTGTGTGGCACCTGCCAGCACCACTGTGGCCAGTACCAGCACCAGCACCAAGTCAACAAGCACACATCTAGTGTCAGAAATAAAAGGTGGCTCCACTTTTATGTTTAGCTGTGTATATGGTTGTATACATAGTTGTATGTTTATTTGTGTATATAGTTGTATACATAGTTGTATGTTTAGTTGTGTATATAGTTGTATACACAGTTGCATGTTTAGTTGTGTATATAGTTGTATACATAGTTGTATGTTTAGTTGTGTAAATAGTTGTATATTGTATGTTTAATTGTGTATATAGTTGTATACATAGTTGCATGTTTAGATGTGTATATATTTGTATACATAGTTGTATGTTTAGTTGTGTATATAGTTGTACATATAGTTGTATGTTTAGTTGTGTGTATATAGTTGTATACATAGTTGTATGTTTAGTTGTGTATATGGTTGTATACATAGTTGTATGTTTAGTTGTGTTTAAGGTTGTGTACATAGTTGTATGTTTAGTTGTGTATATGGTTGTATACATAGTTGTATGTTTAGTTGTGTATATGGTTGTATACATAGTTGTGTGTTTAGTTGTGTATATAGTTGTATGCATACATACTTGTGTGTTTAGTTGTTTATCTAGTTGTACACATACTTGTATGTTTAGTTGTGTATATGGTTGTATGCATAGTTGTATGTTTAGTTGTGTATATAGTTGTTTGCACTAGGGCTGTACCGAATATTCGCTTCGTGTTCTCTTCGGGACCGAATAGTGGACCTGATAACTATTCGGTATTTGGCTGAATAGTTGCGGAATAGTGGTTACCTTACACCCATTTCTGGACTGGTGGAAAATAAACATATCAAGATTTCCCACCTTGATTAATACTTCTTCTTTCGTTCGCATGAAATAAATTGTCTATATCTGCAAAGCTGTCTCTAGTATGAATTTCACTGTCTTTTGTAATTCACTAAGCGGCCCGTAAAGTTTGACTTCCACAAGTGTCTCTTTTGGCCAAAGGTTTTGCCTGAAAGCGTTGAATCTGGGACAGTCTTGAAGGATGTGATCTGTTGTAATACTGTCAAGCGTTATCTTTGTGCACCACCTACGAGCGTACCAAGTGAACGTCTGTCTAGTACAGCTGGAAATACCTTCAGTGAGACAAGAAGCTGCTTTAATGCTGACAACATGGAACGATTTTTTTTTTGGAAAGCAAATGCCGCTTTCATGGATTAACTAAGCTGTCAGTGATAATTTACAAGTTTAGTTACTTGTTATAAAACTAAGAATACTTTCATTCCTAAGTATTAAATACCACAGACTGACTGACTAAAGGATGCAAAACATGTCCAGTATTTGTCTAGATAAATCAGCACTCAATAGCTCATGAGGTCAGCATTATAATGGCTGCTATTACTTCCCAAAATATTTCCTGGTACCTTTTTTAGACTGGAAACTTGTGTCTGCCCGGGATATCCTACAGACGAGTTTTTGCCCAGGATGTCCCACAGACTAGTGTCTACCCAGGATGTAACACAGACTAATGCCTGCCCAGGAAGTCACACAGTGTCTGCCCAGCATATCGCACAGAGTAGTGTCTGCCCAGCATATCGCACAGAGTAGTGTCTGCCCAGCATATCGCACAGAGTAGTGTCTGCCCAGCATATCGCACAGAGTAGTGACTGCTCAGGATATCTCACAGACTATTGTCTGTCCAGGATGCCTCACAAACTATTGTCTGTACAGGATGCCTCACAAACTAGTGTCTGTCCAGGATGCCTCACAGACTAATGTCTGTCCAGGATGTCTCACAGACTAGTGTCTGTCAAGAATGCCTCACAGACTAGTGTCTGTCCAGGATGCCTCACAGACTAGTGTCTGTCCAGGATATCTCACAGACTAGTGTCTGTCAGGATGTCCCACAGACTAGTGTCTGTCCAGGATGTCCCACAGACTAGTGTCTGTCAAGGATGTCCCACAGACTAGTGTCTGTCCAGGATGTCCCACAGACTAGTGTCTGTCGAGGATGCCTAACAGACTAGTGTCTGTCCAGGATGTCACACAAACTAGTGTCTGCCCAGGATGTCACACAGACTAGTGTCTGCCCAGGATGTCACACAGACTAGTGTCTGCCCAGGATGTCACACAGACTAGTGTTTGCTCAGCATGTTGCATAGACTAATGTCTGTCCAGGATGTCACACAGACTAATGCCTGCCTAGGATATCGCACAGACTAGTGTCTGTCCAGGATGTCACACAGACTAGTGTCTGCCCAGGATGTCTCACAGACTAGTGTCTGTCCAGGATGCCTCACAGACTAGTGTCTGTCCAGGATGCCTAACAAACTAGTGTCTGTCCAGGATGCCTAACAAACTAGTGTCTGTCCAGGATGTCACACAGACTAGTGTCTGTCTACGATGTCACACAGACTAGTATCTGTCCAGGATGTCACACAGACTGGAGTCTGCCCAGGATGTCACACAGACTGGAGTCTGCCCAGGATGTCACACAGACTGGAGTCTGTCCAGGATGTCACACAGACTGGAGTCTGTCCAGGATGTCACACAGACTGAAGTCTGCCCAGGATGTCACACAGACTAGAGCCTGCCCAGGATGTCCTACAGACTAGTATTTGTCCAAAATTTAATGGTTTCAAATGAGCACACATGTCAAGAAGCACGTTAAGGCACTGACATGTCTTCAGTGTGTAGTCTTGCTTCTTCTGTCACCGCACAAACACACATGCACACACACACATACATGCACACACACACACACACACACACAGAGAAGTGATGAAAAGGAGTGTGAACATGCCAAATGGGTCCCAGAATGTATTTTTTTCTAGAAAAGATACCAAGATAGATTACAAAGCCTCATAATATATATACAGAAGATGTAAAGTTTCACAAATTCATGATCATATAGTTTTATGTTTTGTTCTGTTCTTCAGCAGGTCATGGATTCAGTGTCTGGGCTCACGTCATCTTGCCTGTCTTGATCGCAGTCTTAGTTTTCATTCTCATAATACTGGTCATCATTTTCTGCAATCGCAGACGCAGACAACAACAAGCAAATTTCAACGCTGAAAAGGAAGTCATCTCCAACGATGCTAATCCGGTTATCCTCCCCAGTGAATGTGCACCTGAGGATCTGTCATCTAAACCAAGAGATTCGCAACTTTTACCTACAGCTGATTTACAACCTAATCAAAACATGACTGCCGGATCTTCCCAGGTCAAAAATAATCTAAATCGTGACCAGGAAAGAGCCAGAAAGAGTCGAGATAATCGAGAGGCAGAGTGGCTGAATAAAGATACTCCAATTAGTGACTCTGAGTGTGAGAGAGACTTGAGCAGAAACTTCCATCGCAAACATGCCAAGGACAGTATTTCTGGGCGGAGACCTAGGGATCCTGACAGAACAAGCAGAGTAAGTGCCTCGTCCACCCTGTCCTGGGATCGGCCCAACAATCATTATCTTGAAGAAGAGGCAGGCTCCAGAAGTAGCACACTGAAGTCAACCAAGTCGGCAGCTTCTGACAAGAGACACCGCAGAAGTCCACCTCCATACTGGCAACACCAGACAGACCCACCTCCCTACAGAATGCCCCCGCCATATTTAAGCAATAACTCAACACTAATGTGAACTGTTGCTTCATTGCCAAGTTTCATGATTAATATTTGAATACAGCGTGACTGGCATGCTCAAAGCAAGAACAGATAACAAGCATGTATGTAAACATCTTCTGGTACATTTTAGTTTTGATTACCTTGCCCGAGGTTCAGATTTCTAGACACTTCTATCAGCACTGCCTACTCTAGATAGACCTCATCTACCAAATATATCCAGAGCTGTACTCACCCTGGAATGACCACTATGCATTATCACTGACCAGGTTTACACTCTATGGAATGATCACTTTGCATCATCTCTGACCAGGTCTATCAGAAGCCAAAAGCAATGGTAAGAGAGTTCATCTCCACTGATTTTTTTTACAGTGCCACAAATGTTCACAGACAGCAAACAGACATCTGTCACACAATAAACATCTGATATATTGTAAACACAAACAAAAGTAACATGGCTGGCATCTTCCTCTGTATGATGCACAGAACAGAGTGTTGGGGGAAAGCCTCCAGGGTGAGTCCAGTAAATATAAATGCTGTTTGGATTTATGATTCCGTGAGATGTTTGTCAGTTTGACCAAATCCCAAGAAAAGTGTTATTTCTTTTGCCTCAACCAGAATTGTTCAGATAGAAGAGAGTCTCACTCAGACAGTTACATTTCATAAAGACATGGACAACTGAACTCTCTTGAAATGTTAACAACAGAAACCAGTGATTTGCTGATGGAAAAAAGATGCACAATATAGAGAACAGAAAACAATTCTTCAGGCTCTGATCCTCTTTTGGGATTTGATATTTGAATGTGTGAACTTTGCATTACCTATCTTTGGAGATAACCAGTGCTAACAGAGAGAGTCCTAAATAGAGTGAAAAAGTAAATGCGTGAGAATATGTTTGAAATATAAATAAATATGTGAGGCTATGTGAGAGAAGTGAATGAAGAATAACTGAGAAAAATTCCTTACTGTCAATTTGTGTTGAACATGTTCACATTTATGTACAAATAATCAACTTCCACTAATGTAAGAGTATTTAGTCAATGAAAAAAGTGTTTGGTAGCATTTTCGAACCTGTTTACACTTCCTGGCTCATCTACACACTTTCTCAGTCTGATCTAGGTCAGACAGGTTTCAGGTTGTACTGCTTTTTTCAAAAAGAGTCTCTCGTGTGACCTAGGCTGAGGCTGTGGGTAGGAGGGTTTGGTTTAGGGCCAGTTCTAGATGTTCTGGGGTAGTTGAAAGCTGTGTCATCATGTAGTTTAGAACACACGACGTCAGCGCTGATGTAATTGGAGGACGGACATCATGGCACCCCTCTAATGTAGAAGAGTCTGGGAAAGTATGAATGAAAGTTCAGGTAGTGTATAGATGGGCCAGGAAATGTAAACAGGACACCATTTTCTATACGCTTGAACAATATTTTATACATAAATTGCTCTCTTTTGTTGACCTTTAGTCTCTTCTCTCTCTGTTTCATATTTTTTTTAATCCAACAGCTTGACCTCTCTCTCTGTCTCTCAATCCACCTGTTGTCTGTTCTAGTTATTCTTCTTTCTTTATCTTGTCTGTAGCCAGTACAAATAAGACCTCCATCATACCCACCTGGGACTTATTAAGGAAGTAAAAAATACAATCTTTTGCTCAATCCATGTTGATATTTCACTTAATGACCTAAATGATATACTCTTGCCTGCAAAATTTCATTTCTCCTTCACTTTATCACATCTCCCATTTTAAAACCATCTTGCTATAGAACTCTCCACTTCAGTGAGTAAAGAGAACACACTGGCACTAAATTAGGTATTTCCATGAATTTGTGAGGGCAGTTTGAAAAGTGATGCTTCCAAGGACATAACTTTGTTAATCATGCCCTGGGGCAAAAAACACTGAAGTGATAATAATGTGATAATAAGTGACTTTCAAGATATGAATGGTCACGCATGTGGAAAGTGGCACATGTGCTTCAAAAATAGAAGAAAATAATCATTACACCTCAAAAGGAGCTTTGAGCCAGCAGTCAACTGATTTTTCTCAAGGCCAAAGTGCTTCAAGTACTTCTATGGTGTCAGTTTCTATAGCAATTGGTTTCCTGTAATATCAAATACACAATTATAAAACAAATGTGACAGTGCAGTGACTATCATGCCAGCCTACCAGCTTGATGGTTAGGCATTCAAATCCCTCATGCATTCAAATCCCTCATGCATTCAAATCCCTCCTGCATTTAAATCCCTCATACATTTGAATCCCTCATGTATTCTAATCCTTCATGCATTCTAATCCCTTATGTATTCAAATTCCCCTTTTTAGGTACATTATTAAGTTGACCTGAGTGTCCAGGTCAGTGTGGCCTAAAATTAGAGATTAGAAAATAAAATAGGAAATCAAGGTAATCAGTATAATAGTGACCAAGCCAACCAGCACGTATCATTAAGTTTAGAAAACATATGGTGGCTGGTATCATGTTTTCAGTAACCCCACATGAAGTTGTTTAGAAAACATATGGTGGTTGCTATCATGTTTTCAGTAACCCCACAGGGAGTTGTTTAGAAAACATATGGTGGCTGGTATCATGTTTTCAGTAACCCCACATGAAGTTGTTTAGAAAACATATGGTGGTTGCTATCATGTTTTCAGTAACCCCACAGGGAGTTGTTTAGAAAACATATGGTGGCTGGTATCATGTTTTCAGTAACCCTCAGGGAGTTGTTTATAAAACATATGGTGGCTGGTATCATGTTTTCAGTAACCCCACAGGGAGTTGTTTAGAAAACATATGGTGGCTGGTATCATGTTTTCAGTAACCCCACAGTGAGTTGTTTATAAAACATATGGTGGCTGGTATCATGTTTTCAGTAACCCCACAGGGAGTTGTTTATAAAACATATGGTGGCTGGTATCATGTTTTCAGTAACCCCACAGGGAGTTGTTTAGAAAACATATGGTGGCTGGTATCATGTTTTCAGTAACCCCACAGGGAGTTGTTTAAAAAACATATAGTGGGTGGTATCATATTTTCAGTAACCCCACAGGGAGTTGTTTAGAAAACATATTGTGGTTGCTATCATGTTTTCAGTAACCCCACAGGGAGTTGTTTAGAAAACATATAGTGGCTGGTATCATGTTTTCAGTAACCGCACAAGGAGTTGTTTATAAAACATATGGTGGCTGGTATCATGTTTTCAGTAACCCCACAGGGTGTTGTTTAGAAAACATATGGTGGCTGGTATCATGTTTTCAGTAACCCTACAGGGAGTTGTTTAGAAAACATATAGTGGGTGGTATCATGTTTTCAGTAACCTCCCAGGCAGTTGGAAGTGGACCATTCCATAGCTGAGATTATTGAATCAATGATAGCCCATCAATTAGACTGTGTTATTTATCTTTTGAGCTGTTCTATGAATGGATAACAGTACATTCAGATTCTTGTTGAAGAGCAGCAAGGGGTACAATCCCTTGTGAGATGTCTCAACCTGGTCTGGATTTGTTTACAAATCTTAAAGAAAAGAAAAAGATACTGAATATTTGAGAGAGAGAGAGAGAGAGAGAGAGAGAGAGAGAGAGAGAGAGAGAGAGAGAGAGAGAGAGAGAGAGAGAGAGAGAGAGAGAGAGAGAGAGAGAGAGAGAGAGAGAGAGAGAGAGAGAAAGGAGATTATGCCAATGAAAACCAGATTAGGTGATCAATTGATTAAATGTATGAGTGTATATTGTCTATATTCAGGTGACATTTGAACTTTATTGCCATGTGTGTTTTAGTTTGTGTTTGTATTTCTTCATGTGATCCATGTTGATGTTACTATAACTTTATAAGAACAGTATTATAATAAATGTGTCTTATATTAATGTGCACTGTGTTTTACTCTTTTGTTTTGTATGTTTTGACTAGAAATGGGTTTGTCCTTTGTTCTTTACACAACTGGCTCCAGTCTTAAATAGGCCAACTAAGTCAACGGAAATTCCCATTTTTGTAAAGGTCTGTGTTCACCATTTTATTGAGTAGATTTTCACACAAATTAAACTACAGTTTAATTAAAAAATTCCTGGAGCTGGTCGTAGTTCTTTCTTGTCATAGCAGATGTGGTCGTAGTTCTTTCTTGTCATCGCAGATGAGTTGCCATAGTCATGTCCCGACGGATTCTATGTGTCGATGTGTTGACCCCGGTCAGTTGCAGCAGTAAACTACAGTTTAATTAACTTGCAACATATTTTATTGAATATTTTATTATTATTATTATTATTCTACTTTCTAATGGCTCACTTATTTACCTTCTTGATAATTTATTGAAATCTTCATTTTTGTTTAGCCTAGAGGCATAACAAATCTAGTTTACTTTGAGTTAAAACCAAGTTACATGTGTTCAGTTCTGATGTTATTTCAAGTTTAACATATGTCAGTGAAACTTGGAGAACCACTAACAACAATGAACAAAAGTTAAATGCACTTGGAAACAAATGCCTGATGAAAATGTTAAACACAAAATGGGATGAATTTGAGAGGGATGAAGAGTTGTCACCCTCTAAAGCAAGAGTTTTCACGTGATCGCCAAGTCACTCAGCAAGTGTGCCAGTCACTGCATGAAGAGTTAGGTTCTTTCTGGAAACATCCAAATATTTACTTGTTGATGTAGTGACTACAAAGGTGATGGGCTGGATTCCACTCATGACATCAAAAGGATTCCCTGTGTGATGTATAATAATACAACAAGATGTTTCGATGATGATAGCGACTACATATACCAACATGGCACTGTGCACAGCTACAGGAACTAGCTTTCTTTAGTGGGATTACTGCAGGAGTATCCTCTAGCACCTGCTGGTGTATGTCTGTAAAACAAGGATAGAGAAAGAGTTTCAATAGAGCAGCTGATTTTACAGACAAACTAATGATCGTTCAGAAACAACGGAAGGCAGAATCAGACAAATGGGAGGAAGCATCAGACCAAAGAAGGTAATCAAGAGAAATAAGACAAGTTTGAAAAACACCTACAAGAACAATACACACAGCATTATGTGGGTTGC